AACGAATCATTCGTAAATCGTTCGGCGGGAAGTTCGTTTATATTCTTTTATTTATTAAATGAACGAACATGAACAAGATTTTATGTTCGTTTAATTAAATGAACAAACACGAACAAAAGGCTCGTTCGTTCATTTATGTTCGTGAATAGTTGATAATCATTTCTTTAGGTTTGTTCATTTATGTTTGTTTGTTTATGTTCGCTTGTTTATGTTCTCCAGACTCGTTTGAAATATAAAAGACTTAATAAATTTTAATTTTACTCATTAATATTTGTAAACTCAATTAATTTTAAACCCAAATAAAAAGTACTTAAATCAATTAAAAAATAAATCCTAAAATTATTTGAAAAGAAAAAAATCCTCTCAAATATAAACCCAGTTAATTTTATGTTTGTTCCTTTTATGTTAGTTTACATTTCGTTCATTTGTGTTTGTTTACGTTCGTTTATATTTGTTCGTTTATCATTCAAGCGAATGAACATGAAAGAACACAGACTAGCTAAATTTATTAAAAAATGAACACGAACAAAAAATTTTGTTCGTTTAGCTATTCGTGTTCTTTCGTTTGTTCGGTTAAAGTTAAACGAACGAACATGAACATTCCTAGTTCGTGATCGTTTACAGGTCTAGGGGTTAGGCAGGGTGACCCTTAGTCCCCGTACTTCCTCGTGCTGGCGATGAATGTGTTTAAGCTCTTGGACTTCGCTGTGAAAAATGACATTTTCCAATTCCACCCATAGTGTAAAAGAGTTACTTTGACCCAACTTTATTTTTGCAAACGACCTTCTCAAGGGATCGATCGATTCGGTGATGGGCGTCCATTATGTGTTGGAGCGGGTTTATGAGATGTTCGACTTGAGACTGAATGGTGGCAAATGTGAAGTTCATACAATCGGAGTCTCCAACGAGGAACTACGCAGAATTGAAGATGATTGTCGTAACATTTTTTGGTTGATTGTTGTTGATTTTTTTATGTTTTTCGATTGATACATGTTATATGGGGAGGAAACTTTTGTCCCCTTTCTTCTCTCGTGTGCCTCTTCCAAACGGTTGACAGATTCCATTTTTCCTGGCAATGCTCGTATGATGGAGGCCCAATGGTCCTTAGGGTGACATGGAGAAATCTGTTAGGGCTCATGTATGCGTGGATTGCTTGGGTGGTGGCCCTACTGAGATGGCCGACGTGCACGTGAGGCGGTGCTGTCATGGAGGCTCAGAAGCGAAGGGGACGACCGGTGCTTGCAGGCGCGCGCATGAAGGAGTACAAAAGCCTCCGCGTGAAGGCCACACGCGACAACTGTACCCACCTCCTTGGAACCTTCTGGAAGGCGACTGAAGATGGGATTAGGGTTTTCTGATAACCCTAAGCTCCTTCCTCCAATCTGATTCGTTGGATCTTCAGCACTCAGATCCAATGGTTGCTTCTCTCTTGACGTTGACAAACTCTAAACGCTGATCATCTTGCACCGTTAGATCTGGCTCAGATCTAAAGGCTTCAGCTTTGGCGTCTCCCAAGGGAAAAGTTAGAAACCCTAGCTCTACTTGATTAACATACACGGGCTGCTGCTGGTGGGTCTTTGTTTTGGGTTACTTTGTAATGTTGAGCTCCTGTGTATTAACATTTGGGCTGATCTTGTATAATCTACAAAACAAAAATAAATAAATAAATAAAACTATTAATGTTCCATTTTTATTTAATTACTATATATCTTATAATTAATATTATATATATAATAGCTTTATAACTATATCCTAATTGAAACATGTATATCTACAATTTAATTATTATAAAAAAATATTAAATAATAATTAATGTTAATCTCTAACCCTATACCTATATGTAATTATAATATAAAAACCTAAAAGTTTATATTTAATAAATATAATTAACAAAAATTCTAATTAATAATAATAAGTAATAAAATGTAAATAAAAATAGTAATAAATTAAATTAATATAATATGAAATTGAAATAAAACATTTAGAAAAAGACTGTCGAAAATTAATGTCTACAACTACCCCTCTTTGTCCATTGGTGTGAAGGCATGAATAGGTCGAAGACAAAAAGAGAAGCAATTTTCGTTCTGTTCTATCTTTTGCTTTGAAATTCAATGTTGTCTCAAGCAAAACTGGAAACGATCTTATCTCAAAGGAGATTGAAATTTTTATTTCAAGGTTCGTATCTTGAGAGAAATAATCTCAAGGAAGATTATATTTTATAGAGACATAATTTTAAAATTCTTGTTTCAAGAGAGATAAATTTTCTTTCCTTATTTCTGAGTAAAACATATCAAAAGTTGTATTTCAAGTGAAATAAATCTCAAACGAGATGATTTTTTTAAGAAAAAATGATTTTCAAGTGAGAAACTTTTTGTTTCGATAGAAACTATATCAAAGTTTGTCTTTCGAATGAAACTATCGCAAGTGAGACGAAATTTGTTTTTAAGAAAACGATCTCAAATGAGACAAAATTTGTTTTAAAAAAATAATCTCAAGTGATATTGAATTTGTTCTCAAGCATGTCTGTGAAAATGGACTAATTGTAAATAATAAGAGCTTTTGTCTCGAATGAAACTTGTTCTATGATATTCATCTTTAGGATCAACACCCTTTGCATTTTGCATTTGCATCTTTTTATTAATTTGTTTTCTTGTCATTTTGTTATCTTATATGCCCTAATTTGTTTCCTTGTGTTTTCTTTTTATTTTTTGCATCACGTGATCATAGTATAATAAAAAAGTGTTAATTTGTGAGTGGGCTTCAAAGTAAAAGGTTTTCATGATGAATAAGGGGTTTTGCGATCAAAGTAGTAGGAAACGTCATATTGAAGAAGCTCCAAGGAAAATAAGAGGTAATCCATTCAGAGGTAACATGTTAGATATATCAGAACGGGCTATCATCGATGATGAGCAAAAAGAAATACAAGAGATGAGAGAATAAATGTCCAGGATGATGGATAAAATAGTTGCTTTAACTAGAGAAAAAGGGTTTTCTTCTTGAGAAAGGAGAGAGCTCGATGAAAATAATCCTGTCATGTTAGATGCGGTTAAAAATTAGCATTAATTATTATTTAAAGGTTTGCGTCTTTTGGTTAAATATCTTGGGATTCCTCTAGTTACGAGGAAACTTTTAAAAAGGATTGAATTAGTTTGATTAAGAGTGTGAAGGAAAGGGTTAGAGCATTGGTCGAATATAAGGCTTAGTTTTGCGGGCAGATTACAACTGATCTGCTTAGTTCTATTTGATATCTCCACTTTTTGGTGTAGACAACTTGCTTTGCCAAAAGTGGTGGTGAAGTGAGTTAACAAATTTTTATACATTTTTTTAAGAAAATAATGTGGCTGCTTCGGGAGTCAGAGTAGGGTGAAATCAAATTTGTGCTCCTAAATTGAAAAATGGCATTGGGTCAAAGGACTTGACTTGTTAGAACAAAGTTTGCTTCTTCCAATTATTGAGGAAGTTGCTTGCGGACGAGGGATCGTTGTGGGTTACATGAGTTAAGGTGTACTTTTAAGAGTGTCGATGTGTGGAATTTCGAACAAGGGGGCTGGTGAGTTGGTGTTTAAGAAGATACTAGGGGTGTTTGGCAAATAACTGATAGCTAAAGTTGATAGTTAATTCCAATAGCTGGCTTGACCAACTGATTTGAGTTGCCGATCTGAAAAACTGATTTGATTAACTGTTTATATATAAGTGTGTGGTAAAATTTAACCGATATGGATAAAATGATAAATAAATGTATGATACATTTAGTTGTTAAGTACATATATGTTTTATAATAATTTAGCCTTTATTGGGGTGAAATTATTATGATAAAATGCTTTTGACAAGGAATTAAAAGTTCCTTAAAAAACTAGTGAATAATTTTGATATATTTATTAAATTTAATATTTACAAATATTAATATTGTGAAATTGATACATACTACTAACTTTGTATTAAATATCAACACTACATTTTTTCTTTCATGTTTTGCTATATTTTCTTAACTAAAATATATTTGAGAATCTACAACTAAAAAATAAAATAATAAAATAAAATTTCAGCTTAAATATATTAGCATGAAGACTATTTCATTATATTAGGTTTTATGGTAAGACATAATTATGGAAAAAATAAGATCAAATATATTATTTAACCATCTTATTTTGCAATCAGCTCTTCCAAACCACTAGATTTATCAACGTTTTCATTTTCAGCTTATTTGCACAATAATCTCTTTCAAAAAGGTGTTTACCAAACACTAAAAATGAAGGATTTTACTACCAATAAGCTATTTATACTCGAATAAACTAAAAGTTCAAAAAGCTATTTGCCAAATATCCCATACTGTTTAGAGAGGAAGCAGCTTGAACCTTTGGTGTGGTGGGAGAATGAAGGGTTCTTGACTTGTGAGATTTGGGATGAAGTTGGAACAAAAAAGGACAAGATCGTATGACACAAGCTTGTGTGGTTCTAGGTACACGTTTCGAGGCATGCTATTATGGTGTGGATGATCTTCTTACATATAGTTGTCCACCTGTGACTGACTGATGCATATTGGACTTCCGGTGTCGGGTGATCTTACAAAAATCAAAATTTATAGCAATAGAAAGTAGACGACTATGACTCGCAAAACAACATAAAATTCAATCTTTTGATTTGCTCAAAAATGGAAAAAAATTAATGATTAAGCTCACCCTCTTTCATTGTTTGTGAGTTTTCAAACAAATAAAATAACATGAAAAAAAAATAAATGCTTCCCGAGCACACCCAAAAGAAAGAAATAAAGAGCACACAACAAAATCTAAAGTTGTAAATGACATATCAATACAGTTCTAAAACAACTCCAAGGTTTAAAAATAATAAATCCAGCAACAAATTTCTTTATCCTGTTAAAGTAGCAAACAAAACCCCATCCTGCTTAAATTATAAATCTGATGGAAAATAAACTTCACCTGATAGTTCATATTAGATAGCCACCCGTAATCGTCAATATATGCTTTGATCCATCTGTTACGCCCCCTGTCAAGATGCACCAGGAATAGTAGCTGCAGCAGCAGCATACGTGCTCGGATCCTGATTTGACGGCATACCATACCCGTAACCATAACCACCATACCCTTGCCCTTGGTAATATCCTCCATCCCACTGGTTACTGGAATTGCCTCTCCACTGTCAAACCGGTTTTACGAAGTCAGTAAAACAATAGCAGAAGGGTGTGCATCTCCACCTTCAGGAGACTATATAAATCATGCTATGCAATAATATTACGTAGCCTCAGGCATATTAATTAGGACTTAGCCAAGAAATTCCATTTTCTCAATAATATAAAATAACTTTGTTGTATTCCTTTTCTCCAGGGACAGATGGCTGGCCATTTTGCAATGAGCAAGGCAAAAAATAGGCTATAAGACAGTTGCCTAGTAAGAATTTACCTGCTTGTTTCCTACATTGCGACCCCAAGAAAGACGGACAGTCTGCTTGCCTATGGTTGTCCCGTTCAAACTTTGGATTGCTTCCTCAGCATTTTTCCTACAAAGCATACACAATACATTACTATAGGCACCATGAGTAGCTAATAAATTAATAATGCAGCCATGACACTGTCTGTCAGAAACCTATCATGTGCGCCGCTTAAATTAAAAATGTTCATAATACTTTGATGATATTATCACTAGAGGAGCTGTTAACAAGAAGCTTGAACAATAGTTACACACTTCGACAAATGGTGAATTGCAATGTGGTGAAGTTGAGTACATATAGAGAGGCACCTGTTCACAAATTGCACAAACCCACATCCTTTTCCGGATGGTATTTTGACAGAGATGATCTCACCAAACTGGGAAAAAGGTTGTCTCAGATCTTCATCAGTAACATCAGAGTCAAGTCCTCCAACAAATATCTGCAAGAAACATAACTGTGATCAATGGTAGATATAGGGGAGAAGATATCAATGGAGGACGGAAAAAGACTCACGGTAGCATTATTGGATTCATTATCGTATTGAGAACCTTGTGCTACAACACCATTTGCTGCATGTCCACCAGCCAATACCACAGCTAACCAAAAAAGAAATGAAAATATAATGATTCAATTAAAACTCACATCAAGCTTTAAGATACAGATATAATACATTCAACATGATAGAAGGACTAGGGAAAATTCTGAGACCTCCATGCTCAAGAAACAACAAAAAAGGACAGATTATGAACATTTGAAACACCGTACTCCGCCATATCAAACAAGCCTGAGATGAAGACTTTATTCTATGAAAAATATAAAAAGGAAAAAGAATCACAGTTTGACTCCACTTAAGTTCCAGTTTTCACTAGTGAATAGATCAGGATGTTGCACCAATGTTGAAGAGAAATATTTACATCAAAGGCCACACAAGAATCATCACCCTTGTGGCAGAAATCATACCTTGTGAAGAATACTGTTGCTGATATCCAGATGCTTTCTTGGGAGTAGCAACACCGATCCTCATAGGTCTACTTGTGCAATATACACCATTCATTTCAGTCATAGCCCTTGACCTTTCATTTTCATCACCAAATCTAACAAAACCATAACCTTTTGAACAACCTGTATTTGAATCGATAACAACTTTTGCTCCCTTGACAGATTGAAATCTACTAGAAAAGGTTTCATGCAATATCGTATCAGTTACATCTGCAGCCAAATCCCCTACAAAAATAGACAGCTCAGAACCCATTTCAGGTCGCCTTTCATTCACACTGAATGAAGCCCAATTGAGTCGAAAAGGCTGTTCTGTATTTGGCATTAAAGAACCATTATAACTTTGCAAAACTTTTTCCGCTGCAGTCCGTGAGTAAAATTCCACAAAGCCGTATCCTTCAGACTGACCGGTTTGCTTATTGCGTATAATCTTTACAGAAGAAACCTGTATTTGAAATGCAAAATGTCAGAAACAAGGTTATTTTACTCACAAAAGCCTGTCTTATGATATAAAAAGTAAAATATTCAAAAATGTATTGGTCGCTCATCAACGCACGATACACAATAAGCATCTAATGTTCAAAAGAAATAAAATCGACAGAGTATTACGAATAGTCGAATACAATTTTTTGTAGATTTCAAGATTCCAAATAATAGTAAAAAAAATAAACTATTGTTAGCGTCTAACCACTGCTTTTCTTTTGTGAAACTTTCCTCGTTACAAGCAAAGAAATGAAGAGTGCTTTTTACAAGGTCATGGTACATGACAGCTATTCTCATAAATAAATAGTTCCAATATGAGTTAACCACTTCCTTCAAATGCTGTCTGTAACTTTAAACTACCACATAACCATCTCGGTAAACTTTGAATCCAAGTCAAGAGGGCTCTATTTCCAGTGCTTATGAACAAGTAATCTATGTTAAATATCTTATATTAATAAGTCCACGTAGCAAGACAAAACACAAAGAAAGTCGATTGTCGAATGGCCAACCTCCAAACCCCCACCCCAAATTAACACCCAGCATGAAAAGACATTACATTTATAGTTGTAAACACCCTTCACATGCAAGTCCGCTAATCAATTAACAGGTTTTTACATGAACCCAAGTACAGAAAGAAAGCTTAAAGAATCATTATACCAGTGGAGGATCTAGAAATTAAAGAATGGGGTTCAACATTTTAATAATCTATTTTCTAAGAAAAATGGGTATGCAGACTTCTTTATTTTTTTCATTCCCCTTAATAAATTAAACTAGATTTAATAATTTTTCTAAATAATGGGTATGCAATTGACCCCATCAAGGCCACATACACCAGCCCCTGCATTATACAGTCAAAAGGCAAGAAGGCAATTGGTAAAGAATCGTAAAAGGTAGAAGTGTTTCTAGTATTCAAACCGAGAGCTTGTACCATGTTAAATTAAAAGACCAATTATTCTTAAAAGCTTAAAATGATAAGAAAGGATCCAACTATTCCATTAAATGCAAACAGTAACCACATGAAACCCTGCTACAGCTTCAGGTTTTGATACGGATTGTGGGTTTTTTAAATATATGATTAAACCGATTCTAATTCATTGTTTAAATGAAATTCAACCTAACATTAACCAGAACCTAATCCTCTAGATATAACAGCATAGACAGATTTTCTCCACATTTATTCAGTATTACCTTACTATGGCAAGCAACAAACGTCTATTGATCTGTTTAGCTTGAATTGAAAACACTGTGTCTATAAATAAACCACAAACTTATAATTTCTTATATCATGTATATGAACTGAACCACAAATTGTCGACAATACGCTTTAATGATCAATATAGAGCATCTTCCTCTATCGTAACATTGATAAGAACAGCTTAATTATAGGGAACAAGCTCTGAACTGCAACCCATTTCATAAATCCTCTTTAATCAATCAATTGATTACCACTTTCTCTAATCTAGCATAAACCTCGAACCTCAATTACAATCAAACCCCATAACACATACAGAACAGAAAGATTCACTCATTAAACCAACAAAAAGATCTAAAAGTAAGATTCACATATAAGGCATACATCTATATGATTTCATGATATATGTAGCTGCTATCGTTTTTGTAGTTTTACCTCTCCAGTTTGAGAAAAGCAACTATGAAGATAAGTTTCATCCATCCAATGAGCAAGGTCGCCAACCCAGATCGTCTTGACCTCATCCGAGTTAGACACTTGCTGCTTCTGCGAGTAGCTTTGCTGCTGGTACGGGTGTTTACCTTGCTGCTGCTGTTGATATTGTTGGTACTGGAACTGAGGATTGTTGTAAGCCATATAATGGTGAGGGTACATCATCATCTGTTGCTGCATCATTGCCATCGCAGCCGCTGTCGGGTACTGCATGGCTCCCATCCACTGGCCCGCCACCCACTGCGGTTGTTGTTCTTGTTCTTGTTTCGAGTTCAGATCAGTACCGCTGGTCGACTGCATCTTGATGTATAGATAGATGAGACGATCAGATCTAATACTTTGGGTTTTCTTCTGTTTTTTTCTTTCTTTCTCTTTCACCGTTGATAGGCGAAGGAGAGAAAGAAAAACAAGCGGAAAGAGAGAAAAACTATTGTCTGAAGAAACGTAAGTTTATAAAGTGGGCGGTGGATCTGAGTTTGTGACCTCGGTTATAACGTTGGTTGTTGCTCGCGTTTTCCTTTTTTGGTTAAACTTTGATTTTGGTCCTCGTACAATGATTAATATACACGTGTCTTATTCTTTACAATGCCATTAGCTGGATGGAATGGAATTAGCCGTTTCAACAAAAAATATTAATGCAACCTTTTAATAAAAAATTCTTCAACATAAAATAAATTATGTCAGCAAGGAATTCTAAGAAAATTCACTTCAACATTATTAGGATAATATTAGTGAGTACATAATTGATTAAATTAGTTAATGATATTATTAAAATGGAGACAAATTGTATTAAATCAAAATATAAATAATAATTTATTGGACTAACTGATAAGGGGCTAGATAGTATTAAATTAAAGTATTGGGACCAAATTTTAAATTTGAAACAAAATAAGTGGACCAAAAGCAGAATTTGACCCCATGTGTAGTTGCCGTCCCATGCCGTGAGTTGAACCGGGGGCTGGGCCACTTGGTTGTCGTGTGGGGTCGTACCATGCCGTCTAAATAGATCTGTTTTACTTTTTATTATTATTTATAATATTAACAAAAAGGAAAAATATACTACTAAAAAAATGTTATCGTTTTTTTTATTATTTAAATAATAAAATCTGTAAAAAATTATCGAAAATATTATTATTTTTATCTGTTTTGTTATTGTTGGGAATTTTATAAAAAATATTAAAAAACATTGATGTTTTAGTTAAAAATAATAATGTTTTAGATAATTTTTTATCGATTTTGTTATTTAAATAATAACAAAACCAATAATATTTTTTTAATTGTATATTAAGAATGCTTCACCGTATAATTTCTATAACAAATAATGATTAGTTTTAAGTAACAGAATTTAGAGAGCACCACTTGCGATTATAAAATCCACACCGTAAACTTTATAATTTTCCAATAAAGCATTTGGTTTAAGGGTTTGACAAAGTCAGGCTCGGAGTAATATACATGGATTTGTTAATTTCTTTACTTTGTTAACCCTTTGTTTGACCATCTTTAGGTCCAATCTTTATAATATATTTTAATTTAGTTATTTATTTTTAATTTTTTTATCTTAATACGAATGATAAAATAATTAAATTATTATAATATTTAAAAAAAAACTAAATTTATGGCTTATGTGAGGCTTATTGTTTGATATTTGTCTCCTGAATTATTATAATTAAATTTAATGGAGCAGGCAAACCTTTTTAAAGTTGTTGAGTATATTGTAATCATATTTTGTCGACGTAATTATTTTAGGGGAAATGACAAAGTTGAGGAGTTGGTGGTCAAAAAGGAGGGCTGTGGTGTGGTGTGCTAAAAATAAAGAGACCCAATGCCCCAACAAAGGGGCTGCAAACCCAACCCTGAAAATTGAATGTCAGGCGCGTTAATAACGTGTTTCCACATTCTTACTTGTTTACCAAAGCCAAAATGGATAAGAATTATCAACATATGCATTGCAATAATAAAGGCACTTCTTTTTCCTTTGATTGAAAACATACAACATTGCTGATGTGTTGAGAGGGAAATGAATGAATAGAATCGTCCGTGTGAAGCTAATTTGAAACAATATGGCCAAAATTCCAAGAGGGTGGTTTGGTGGGCTACCCTACCCCCCTCCTGTTGGCTCCCCTGTCATTTCGAGATCGAAACCGAAAAGAGAAGGAAAAAAAAAGGGGGGGGATTCAAGAATAGAATGTACATCATGCTGATGCTTTACCTCCTGTAATCTCCATATAGGTAACTTTCGTAATGCGTTCCTTTCAGTGCTATTTCTACATCGTTCCAGTTCTAGATGTGTTTCGACAACGATCCCTTGTGTATCTTTGCCTGTCGACTCCTTAACTCGAATTCCTGAACCTCATCTAATTTCTGCATAACGCCACAAGTAACAGAAAATGATTCTCTTAATAACCCTGGATTGGACCGATATTCACTAAGAAAATATCTCAACTTTTTTCTGGTATTTGTTTTCTTACAGTTCGGTTCTTAACTACATCCTCGTAGTGAAGTATGATATGCCGGGTGCTTTTGAAGTACTCCAAAGCTTTTTTTAGTTGTCTCTTCAACCTGCCTTATATTTGGAATGAGCAATGTTGCATTGATTACAGGCTTGTAACGAGCAAGTATCTCAGCCTGAAAATCGTTATGTAAGAGTGTTTAAACTTTTAGAAAGGTGCATGAGTACAACAGAGAAAGAGAAGCAGAGGGATGAAAACCTCATGAGGCGAATGAACATGAGACTTGTGGGTTCCATTCAGTAGCTTAGCATCCCGATCATAAGAATTTGCCGGTATTGAAATCATCCTCCGCAAAAGATTCCTTCGGAAGAGAAAAATAGCTGAAACACCCCGAGTATTAAAGTATTCCACTATTTGTTTATGGTAGTGCATCAGTCCCTGCAGTGAAGGATTATGATCATGAAAACATCAGAGACGAGCATAATCACAAATTTAAATTATGAATTCAATACTAAGAGCAATGTCTGTTCATAAAACATCTTTATATTGTTCTGAACATAAAGAAAACTGTTTTCATTAATGAATAATTTCATCAGTGCAATTTTCTCAAGTCATGAAGAAGTTGCTATCTCAAAGGCTCAAAAAAGAAATAGGGCTTTACTAAGAACATTGAATACATTTTCTCGGAGTCCCCGGCATGTCAAATAAGGGGATAATCTCCTTTTGATACACACATTTTCTCAACTTCCCAGCACAGATTTCAACTATCTGACCCCCTCAGAATTGCTTAACCTCTGCCATCTCTTCTTTCTCCTGTTTTCCTTACATGATTTTGCTAATGTCTCAACCTCATTCATTCAAGGTTACAAAATTTTATAGTTGCTCCCCATCAATATAATGGTAAATATTTACCAATAATTGTGCTTCTCATTAGAAAATGAATAAAACCAAAAAGTATGAAGAGCTTATGCAACAGTTCTTCTCTCTTTAGTGAGGCACTTACGAATTATTCCCTAAATTATTCTCAGATGTGAAATACTATATGGTATCTGATAATTATACCCAACTTCATGCAAAAAGAACCGGAACATGCTGTCCAGGTAGAAAAGAGTGTCTAGATGCTAATAAGGCTCCAATTAGTGGCAGTTATACAGAAAGCCATTGGCTGGATTAGGAATATATATGATTGGTGGTATTTTGGAATAATAACAAAACGAATAGGATAAATGGTATTTTTCTTGGTGAAACAAGCTAGGATGATCATACTTTTGGGGAGCAACAGGGGCTGTTAAAAGAAAACTCGTGAGGCAAAGAGCGTAAAGACAATTCAACAAGACCACGGATTTCTGTTTTAACAATGTTAGCAAATTGCGACTAAACTTAGAAGCTACATTTCTTCCATGAAAGAAAACTCACCTGATTAAGCATCCACTTCAAACCAAATGCAGCTGTGCACTCATTTTTCCTGGCACTGCTCAACCAGTCCAAGTTATAAGCTCTGTCCAAAGTCTCAAATATTGTCCACACGTTAGTCCTCCTAACTTTGACCGAGAATATCTCCCCATTCGAGGTTATGTTAGTATGATTGTTCAACAACGTTTCAAACCATCCACTCCCAGATCTCTGCATCGACATAATGGCAAAATACCGGACAGGATTGCATGCACACTCAACCCTAATCACACACACAAGAAAGCTCATAATTAAGTCATAAAAAACCTCAGGAGCAATAAAATCAGTTTCAAACCTGCTAAAAGTTTTGGGGTTCGGATGGTGCATGTAAGGAATTTCCCATGGCTCAATATTAGGCTCCAGACACGGCTTTTGGATCACTCCAATGTTCAAAAACTCAGACGTGCTGTTAGTGCTAATTTGCTTCAAACAAATAGAGCATATATACACACCACAGACCATTACAAACAACAATACAACCATCCTCAACCAACGAAGACTTATTTGGCAACTTTAGGATGAAAGAATCCTGAAATTTAACGAGTTGTTAAAAACAAAGAAAAGATACCATCTCCTCACTGATGATAATCCATTCAATGAGGCTCTTGGAAAGATATGGTCTGGGTATTGCTGTGGCACTAAAGCCTCATCAAATTTAGCTAGAAAATCTCAGCTGTATGCTGAAAAAGACATTAGTTTCATTAGTCTAATCAAAATTGAACATTAATTAATTGATTAATCACGTTTCACGTGAAAAAAAACACACATCAACATCGAAACTACAAGAATAGAGCACACATCTTTCATGAAAATAAAATCTGGGTGTTGCTTGTATCATAATGAAGCGATATATTTATTTATTTAAGAATGTAAGAAAGAAGAATTGCAAAATTTACTTTCAAAAAGATTTGACTAAATAATTAGTTCTGCTATTATCGGATGAATTTAATGAGCTAAACAAAAAGGTATTTTTGAACCAAAGCCAACAGTTCAAGGACCTGGTTGCAACAACTCTTATTGGGCCACAACGACGCCCATTGACATTTCTAAAGTCATTCTTTAGAGTTTTTTTTTATGAAATGAATTATTTTTGTTGTTATTATTATTTATATTTTTATTTATTTTAAAAATCATAATTTATTTTTTTATTGAAAAGTGGGCCTCATTAAAAACCCCTTATCCCAACACAAGGTTGGGGTCATATAAGAGGAAAATAGTGCCCAAAATTCATAAATCAATCTAGTAACAAATCGTTCTTTACAACATTTACAATGAACTCAGGATACTCAGTCTCGAAGAAAAGAAATAATTTCAATTAAGGGCTCAATTAGTTAATGTATGAGCAACCTTATTCGCTTCCCGACAAACATATGTTTTCGAACAACTATTAAAATCATTACAATTATCCCGTATAGGTTGTAAATGGACACCAATCATAGAATCCACACCACTCGCATTATTGTACATATTAACTACCGTGGTGGAATCCATCTCAATAATGATGTCCCGCCTCCCCTCAACCAAAGCCAAATTCACAACTGCAACAAGGTTAT